GGATCTTGAAGATGGACTTGCTAAGGAGCCAGATGACATCCCGAGAGGTGGGACGAGGAGAGTCAACCAAAGCCAAGGGAAGCAAGATGATGATGGCTAAGATGGTGGGGCCTATAGTGGAGAGGAGGAAGAGGAGGCCAAAGATATTGGGTGGGAATGTTAACGTACTGCCCAACAGAACCACAGAGGTGGCCAACAGAGGCTGTGGCAATGGTGAGTAACAGAGCCAACGCGGCAATGAGCATGACACATGAACCAGCCTTGGCAACTATGGGTTAAGGACTGCAAATTTAGGAGGAAGACCCTCCCTAACACCAAGGTCCATAATTGTTTCCACAACGCTCCTTTTGGTATTAGAGTGCAAATTATTAGCATTCAAGTACTCTCTCTGAGACTTACAGTGTATATCTGTATATAAATTTGACCTTTAGATCTTTATTCTTTAATGTGAAATGGAAATTGATATACCTCATTTGAATTATCACTGGAATGATGGGAATTCTATATTACAAGGGTGCGGTTTGAATAGAGCCGAGGCTCTAAAAAATCAAATTAGAGCTCAACTTCAAATAGTGTCAAGAAATGTGGTTTCAATAGTGGAAATCTTGACTAACCTTAAAATGTATTTTCATCTATAATTATAAAATTTAAAGCTTCAAAAATAGTGTAGATCCAGCAAATCTATGAAAACTTGAATAATTTAAAAATTGACGGTCGAAAAATGCGTTACAAGATGCACTATTTCCAAAACTTGAAATCCATTTTTTCCTCCAGTCTGTGCATCTTGATGTCGAGATGATCAATTTGAGGTTATTTGAGCATCAAAACAACCTCTTCTAGTGAAATTTTTGAGGTAGGCTTTAATTTGATTGTTTAGAGCCTAGGCTCTATATAAACTTTTCCCATATTACAATATGTATTTTTAAACATAAATCATAGTTACAATATGTTATAAGGGATTATTAAATAATTTCAGTAAGTATTCATCAAATTAGTATCATTTTCTATCTTTTGTACACTTGTATTATTGTTTCTAATTTTTTAAATTTTACCACATTTTCTATTTTTTTATTTTTGGGATTTTCCTTTTTTGGTTTTTTAGGGCTTTTTCAAACTCAACATGTACTCGGACAAGTCCACTCGCTTGAATAACTCGGCCAGGTCAATAGTTGAGTTCTGCGATCAAGACAAACCAAGTTAGACAAGCTTCGTTCTAGCAAAGATTACAACTTCTTGTTTTTTTGTATAACCAAACTGTACGTGTATTGACACAAAAGATTTACAAATAGGAGATGCACAAATATGCATCTTCCAAAAGAACAAAAGTAGTGAATACACTAAAATAACAAAAAACTTGCAAGTTATGGCTATGTGGAACTCAAGGTAATAAATTCAAAAATTTTCCTTTTTGACTTTTATTAATATACCTGAATTCCACTTATATGAGATATAATTTATTGTTGTAAATCAAAAAAGTAAATCCCAAATACAAACTATGACCTTTCCTTTTACTGCCCAAGTAAATAAATACAACCTAGAAACAATATCTCGTCTTCCACTATGAATTTAAGTACAATATGGGGCCGTTTAGATACCTGGAAATATATTCTGTGAAATATATTACGGGCGTAATACATTACCTGCAAATGGATTGTCACTGTTTGGGTAGTATTTAGATGCAACCTGGAAAATACATTGCTACTGTTTGGCTATGTATGGAAGAAATATGAGAAATGCATTACCATCCAAATATGAAAAATATGGCTATGTTTGGCTAACATGATTAGACTTTGGTTTCAACATGATAAGCCATTGGAATAATATGATTTTATTGTGATAAGCCTTATTTTTATTTATTTTTTATAGAAGTCTTTCAAATGTCTTTCTATATAAAATTTCAAATAAGCAATAAATTTATGATACCAAAATCAAAATCTTTATGGTAAAAGTTAAAAAATGGGAAGAAGTTTGATTAATAAACTAGAAGGTTTGGTAATTGCAATCAAAATCTTTATGGTACAAGTTAAAAAATAGGAAGAAGTTTGATTAGTAAACTAGAAGGTTTGGTAATTGCAATAGAAAATTTTGAAACATTGGAGGGGACTAAAGAGGTATATTATTTCAATTGAGCTTTTACTAATCTCTTATGAGGATTATGTTGTGTGAAATTTTTTATAATGATTGTGTTGTATAATTTCTCATCGATTACCAATTATTATTTTTATTATTTTTGTTTTTATACTAGAGTTGATGGCGGTCTACAATCCAAATTGGGGATAGAGGGATGTAGAAAAATTTTTATTATGTTTGCAATAGAAAATTGTCCCTCATCAAGTTCTACAACTATTCAAATCAATTTAGATTTCCCTTTACTTTTACTCACTAATTATTAAAAAAAAATTGTTTTTATATGAGAGTCAGATGAGAACTACAACCAAAATGGGGAGGGAGGGATTTATTATGATTGCAGTAGAAAATTGTCAATTTAGATTCCCCTTGTCATATCCCCTACTTTCACTTTCTACTTACCTTAATAATTATAGAGCGTATACTTGAGAGAATGAAATGTTTTTTTAAGTGGGGATAGGGCAGAGAGACGAACGCGAAAGATTTCCCAAGATTACCCGTCAACCTTGTAATACATTTTTGCGTAATCGATAATCTCACGTAATCTCGGGTAATGTCTTTCCATTTTCTTACTATTAAATTGTACCCAAAAAGTGTAAATGTCATATTTCCTTGTAATCTATTGTCACGTAATAGATTTCTACGTACCCAAACGGTCTCTATATGCTCTATGAAAATCACATAAAATAAAAGCAACCAAGAAGACTTACTTGAACATGCTTAGCGTTACACCCCCATAAGACTTGATACACCCCACACCTGATTTCCTGACCGATGGCGCACTTTTGTCACTTTTGATTTTGCTGGAATTTCAGAGATGGGAAGCTTTCACAGACAATATCCCTTTCTCTAGGGTTTTAAAGAGCATGGAAACTTAACTACGATTTGTAGGAATGCTTCGGAACAAATTAGGGTTTGGCTTAAAGGCATAGAATCCTCATATGGATGGGTGTACCCCTCTTTCTTCTCCAAACAGCAAAAGCCTAATTAGGGTTTCAATGTGTCACCCTTGTCATATCAAATTTTGGGTGGCACGACCCTTTTGGAAGGGAGGAGAGAGAATAACAAATTCTAATGAGAGAGAGATTTGGTGCATGGAGGAGAGAGAAATGTGTATAGAAATAGGTTCAATGGTGTTTATATAGGAAGAATTCCTTCTTCTATTTGGACTAGAATTCCTTCTTTACGTATTGCTTATCCGTTATAATTTGATCCAAATCCAACTGCTAATTTAAATAGGATTATATTCAATCTAGAACTTCATATTATCTTTTACAAAATTTGTAGGAAGTCAAAGATAACTTTTACTTAGTCAAAACAAACTCCCACAAAGCTAGGACACATTCTTTTCTTTTAAAATATTATATTGACAAAATTAAAAAAAAAATACCACTTAAAAATAAGTGGGGCATACCACCCCTATGGGCCTCAAGTGGGCCCCATAGACCACATGTCCCTCCCATGTGAGGGCAGCACAAATGTGGGGTTGGATCCAAGGGGCCCACATGTTCCCTTATTCTAAAAAATTTGAAAATAACCTTTTCTAGGATTTCACAGCAAAAATAATTTTTCAAATTTCTCAAAAAACAATTAAAATTCACAAAAAGATTTGTAATTCCAAAAATAGAATATCAAGAAGTGGACCGGTACCAATGGGTCAAAATAAGTGATTATAAAGACTCAACCAGACCCAGTAACCATAGTCCACAACTATGTTCTCTAATCAACCAAACAAAGACCCATAACACACAATCTTATGCAAAGGCTCATGATTGACTTGTCAAAAATTGGCCCCAATAAGCGGTGGAACCGTGATTCCAAAATGTGGTCCCCCTTTAAGAGCAAGCATAGCACTTGTCACTACAATGCAAAGGAGACTCTCTCTATGCACGTGTACACGTATCCCTCAATAGGGGTGTTTCCAACAAATGCAGTTGTCATGTGTACATGTCGTACAAAAGTTTGTTGAGGCATTGGCCCTTACTCTCACAAGCCATCAACCTCACACTAGAGACCACATACTTGTCCTGACCTACAAACATCATCTCTGGGCATCTCTCTGACCTAAATAAGGAATGGCGCACTATGAACCCTTCTCAATCGTGCAACATACCCAAGGGTAAAGGTTTTGAATTTAACCAAGGCCATAAACCACCCAACCCTTGTTCAGTCAACACACACACTCCCATTGAAGTGCATAATCTACTATATATAATTTTTTTCAAACTCTCTAGGCCTTTGAGTGCCCTCTTTGAATAGAGAATCCAAAATTGCGTTTTCAAAGGCTACATTAATTGCCAATGAATATGGACTAGAGCATAAATAAATAGAACACTATACAAATAATACAAATGATACTCTACAGCATAGACTAAAGAATTGGTGGTCGATCATGATTGGAGTTACAAATTTCAAGGAGAACGCAGAGAAATTTAACCTAAACTCAAGATTAGTATATCACACTTCCCTTAATATACTCTTGCGATCCCTCGTGTTAGTAAATGACAACCGTTTCAGTGAGGCTCAAAGAAGATAGAAGAAGTCTAAAGGCTGTATTTCGATAAAAATCATAACCCAGCAGTACATAGCGTAGCCATTGAAGAGACTAATGTCCTAGATTGCATTAGGGTCTCTAGGACAATTGTTTACTATGTCATGTGTAGGAGTCCCTCCTTTAGCTGTACCGCAACTATTTTTCTTTTTCTCATAAAAAAATGAAATTTAACATAACTACTACAACTATTATATTCCTCTATTTCTCCGATGTCCACTAAATGTCGATTATCCAAGAAAATAAGTATAAAAGTTGACACTCAAAAAAATAAGAAGAAAGTGACATCAGAAAAAGCTTACACAAAGAATAGGGAACTTACGCGTTGTTTTCCCGCTTCCAGTTTCACCGACTATTATCAGCGTGTCATTCTTCCTTACTTCGTCCACAACTCTTCTCTCAACTACAGTATCCAAAGATCAGAAATAAGACGTGAATATGTGAAACATAAACAAACATTTTTGTATAGACAAGTGTAGCATTAAAAGTAGGAATCTGGTTACGAGAAGATTGAAAATGCTGAAAAGAATGAATGTCACAATATTGAAAGTGACAGATACCACAAAAAAATATAATGAATTGAACTCGATAATGAGTAACTTAAAAGCTAAATTTCATAGATAATAGCAAACAATTAAAATGCACATCATACTGACAAAGAACACATGTGTATGCACGTGATTAAAATAAAACATAATAAAATCTGACTTAAAATCTTGGACACTTACATAAGACGAATTTTTCATAACTCAATATCAATCATAGTGCATGAGTAACAACAAAGCATGTCTATATATATACTGTGAGACAAGGGTGTGTGTAAGTTATTTTATATATAATAAGTTACAATGTAATGTGTGTGTATGTGTCTGTATGAATGTATGTGCAATACATATGAATATCACTTTATAGACAAAAATTTTGCTTTGAATACCACATAAATGATAAGTTTTCCAAGCAAGGTGAGGTGTTTTCACCTGGGCAGTGATTAGCACCTTCAACAACCTAGCTACTAGTCAATAATTCCACACACACACAGCTTTACAAGTGAAATCAAAAAATGAGTTTGACAGAAGGAAATATGATTTAGGGGTTGATCCTGAATAAATGATATTTACCTGAAGCAATTGGTAGTGATTTCCTTTGTTGTGCAATCTTACGCATCCTGTATATAGAAACAGAAAATAATTTTTCGAGAATAGGAAACATAAATAATTATATTATTGCATTAAATCTAAGAGGAAATCAAAAGGAAAATGAAAATTACACATCCTAAAGGTCAACAACAAAAATTTTCCATTGCATCTCCTCGAAAGTTCAGAATAATTAATAAAATAAAGTGTCGAGGGAAAATAATAGAATTCTCAGAACAATGTATGGGGGAATAAATTCAAATGTTTGAATTCATGAGAATAAAAAGAATAAGAATAACACCAATGGCCAAGAAATAGGCTGCTAATGGGCCAGGCCAACCTCCAGGATTTTAGGACAGGCAGTTCTTCCAACAAATTTAGGCCTGAATTTAAGGCCTGTGGACCCAGCCCTGGGACAGCAAGTATAAGCCAGTTTTAAGTTCAAACCAGGTTCGAGCTTGGCTAAAAATTATATAGCCTATATGTAGACTATGTAGTATATAGTTCATGTATAGTTTGTGGAGTATAATTGTCATAATCCATATACTATAAAATAGTTTTTTATAGTATGATATCATAAATATATAATGCCTAGTCCATAAACATGTAAACCTTTAAATCATATGGTTTGCGGACAACATTTTATTTGTGGATTATAGTCTTTCAAAATTAGAAGGCTACAAAATGCACTCCATTTACACCCCATCAAATTAAAATAAGACGAAACACACTCCATTTGAACTCCACCAGGGGTCATGCTCTACCATTTTGACTATCACATGGTTGTGCACCACAAGATGCATAACATATTAATTAACACCAATAAATTCATCCTCTTCTTTTTATTTTCTATCTCTCAACAAAACCCTCTCTCAAAATTTCAGTCTATGTATGGCCCCTCTCTCTAGCCTCACATCTCTCACTCCCTTAATCTGAACAATGCTCATAGGAAACATTCTCTCTCTTTGGTCTCATTAAATTTTCTATATTCTCTACCCTCTGACATGCTTTTGTTTTACTCTCTCTCACTCTCCCAAATGGGCACAACCAGCGAGTGCACGAGCAAGAATTGCGTCATTGGGTTCAATCCCTGCAAAGCCTATTTGATCAAGAACCTTTAAACCTTCATCAAATTGGCAATTTTTGCACATAAATGACCATTAATGCAGCCCAAGTAACCATAGCTATATCTCAAGGAATTTTGTTGAACCATTCTTCTGCAACTTCATCTCTCCACCTTTCACATGAGCATTTATGATAGAATTCCATGAAACTGAATTGACCCAAGACCCACATATGAAAACCCAACCCCTGATCTCCACCTCACTCCCAAACTCCAGAATCAAACCCTAATGTCAGAGAATGGCCATGGCAGCATTGTCCTTATGTAAAGCAAGCATCTTAGCACAGGCAATGATCAACAATGTGAAAGTAGTCTGTGTCTCCCTACTTCAACCATTTCTTTAAAGAAGAGAATAGCTTTAGAAGGACAGGAGCTATTACCAGGAACTGTAATAATGTTCAGAACAAAAGCTTTAGGTTTTGGAATTTAACCATAGAAAAAGGGGGCATAGTTTAGGCAGCCATTTGAGGAGAATGCACAAAGAAGATAAAATGAGCATGTTGCATATCAAACCAGTAATGTTGCCATCTCCGGGTATGAAGAGAGAGAGAGAGAAGAGAGTGGATGGAGGATGAGGTGAAAGAAGAGAGAGAAAGGGAGGAGGGTCATGCTCAAAATGGCCAGTGCGCACGAGCAATCTACTTCTCACGAGATAGAATTTAGTGGTATAGTCCCACATCAGCTAGAGAGAGTGAGCTAGTGGGACAGGAGAGTTACAAAAAGGTGTCAAAATAAAACTGGAAGCATCACTATCTAGGCAAAGATTTAAATTCGGGCCAGGTTGGGCTTGGGCCTGGACAAACAGATTCAGACCGGAGATAAGCCCACTCCAAAATAAGAATTTATTTCAAGCCTGGACCATGCCTGGGCTTAGCTCAATAATATCCAGGTCAGGCTTGGGCAAGGCAAGATGCAAGCTAAGCCTGGCCCGTAGACGGCCCTACAAACAAATATATATATATATATGGCAATAAACTTGATCATATCGTCTCTTCAAAAAACATACATAAATAAATAAATAAACTTCATCATATCTGAAAATCCAGAAATAAATCAAGTACATAAATAATCAAAATGAATAATGTATCTTTCATATAATCGATTTAATAGAAACAGGAATACATTACTTTCATCTGATGAGAATAGAATTTATTATCGTTACAATATTTAAGTAAGAATATTTGGTGATAAAATTTCAAGTAAAGGAAAACAAAATGATATGCACAGAGTGTATATGCAGAGGTAAATTTTAAGTTCTTAAAAAAAAAAAAAGGAGAAAGAGTACAACTTAGAAAAATATTGTTGCCCCAACACACTCAATTAGAGGAAACACAATCACTTGTTTGCCTGAAATTGTTAAAGATAGAACCATTATCTAGAAAAGAAATTATTTTAATTTATGCAACACACAGATTCGGTAAAATAAAATAGAGAGAGAGAAAGAGAGAAGCATTCTACTGTGAACAAGAGGATACCTAGCAAAGGATTCATCAGTTTCATTTCTCCATGAGAACTTCCTCTTACCTTGCTCTCTCTGAGAAAAGGAAGAAAGGATTAATCTCATTTGATAAGGGATAACTAGACAAATAAACAAAACACTTCCATTAGTAATTCTCATTGCTAATCTAATAGAGGGGTAGGAGGGGATTGAATAACAATGTTGAAAAGTTCATGTTTTCTGACAGAAAAAGGAAAATAGAATGAGAAACTCAAAGATATATCATCTTAAGTGTTTATGATGATTGAATAGTCCAAGTTGCATAAAGAGAGAGAGAGAGGTCAAATACTATTATTTTTAAATTTTGAAGTGTTCTTCTTTTCGGGAAAAAGGGAGGATTCAAGATACCAGATACTCAAAGAACAACCAGTATATGGGCATTTAAACCGACTGAAACGTCAGAGAGATACGTGCTATTGCTATTGACCTTTAATTTTGGCTTCCAAATTTGTGCATATTAAATCTAGGACTTGACAAATGGTTCTATGAAGAGAAAGAAGTATCTCAGAGAGAAACATAATTTCCAAGCTTTCTTCTTTTTCCAACAACAAATGGTATTGAAGGTACTACCACCCAAGTCAAAAAAATACCATTACAGGTGTTTAAGAGGACTAAATCATCAGATTTACAGGAAGAGAGAGGGAGGGAGGGGGAGGAAGGGAGGGAGAGAGAGAGAGAGAGAGAGGAGGGAGGGAGGGAGGGAGGGAGGGAGGGAGGAGAGAGAGAGAGAGAAGAAGAGAGAGAGAGAGAGAGAGAGAGAGAGAGAGAGACGACTACTAATACGTATACTTACTTAATTTAGTATAGTCTTTCTTTCTTTACTTAACGTAAACGTAAAGTAGTAGTAGTACGTCACTACTACTACACA